GGGTGGGGCAGGGGGAGGGGGGAGAAGGAGGCACCTGCCGTAAGCCTTAGTCCGTGGCTCTGCTGGTGTTTTGCTCCAAGTGGGGGCTGGTTTCCATGGAAACCCGAGGCTGTGACACACAGATTAGAGCAAATCACAAGGAGGCATCGACTCCGAGTTGACCCCAAGCATCAAAACCGGGCATTTAATAATCACTGGGAAGAAGTCGGCGATAATGTTGATCCAATCTGATCATTTTTCACCATTGCTGCCCAAGGCCTGAGGCGGCAGCCACAAGTCCCCCGCACCTTCCAGGGTGGGTCGCCCTCCTGGCGGCCTGGGGACTCTGCTGTCCCCTCCCTGCACAGAGCCCTGGGGACGACGGCCACAAGGACTTCTGTGCTCCAGCTCTGTCTCCCCAACAACTTCTTCGACAAGTATGTGGGGAGTGTCCACTAGGTGCTGGGCACCTTTCGGGACCCGGGAGAGAAGACGAACTCACAAGCCATGACTGTGCTCATGGGCTCACGTGCTGGTGCAGGGAAGCAGCGGAGGGGGGACACCCAACAAAAGAAGGAAAAATGGAGACAGGGACCGCCAGGGCTGGGTGTTGGTTGCTACTTGGACAGTGGTCAGGAAAGCCCTCTCTGTTGACATCGTGCCGGAGCAGAGGCCTGAAGGCAGGAGGGAAAAGGACAGGCCCGTATGTGCGGAGGGAGGAGCAGTCAGCACCAGTCCCGGGTGACCGGGAGTGCCAGCACGGCGCTCCTGGCTGCCTCTCCAAACTCTTTCCAACCTCAGGGCCTTGGCACATGCTGCGTCCTGTGCAGGAACGCTTTTCTCTCTGCTCCTCACATGGACACTTCCTCAGAGAGCCTCCCCCACACTCACTATTTGCGGTAACTCCCCTGCCCCCAACTCACTCAAACACACCTTGTTTATTCCTTGCAAGGCAACTATCACAAGCCCTTAATTATCTGGCGCAAACACTGGCTGACTTATCTGCCGTCTCCCTCCCTTACGAGGCCATATTCTCCATCAGCACAGCGAGGATGGAAGGATGCCTGCTGCTGAGAAGAAGAAATGAGAAGTTGAACAACACTGATCTGTTTGGGGAACTTGGTCTCTGCTGAGGCAGAAACCATCACCCTGGGTGAGACTTCCTGTGCGGAACAGTGGCTCCCGATGGGGAAGCTGTCTCTGCGGGAGCGTCCTGTGAGCGTGCAGGTGTCCGGGCCACAACGCGCCCCGGGAAGCAGGGAGGCCACACGCACCTGGTCCTGCACAGGCGGAGCTGCTCAGCTCCAGGGACGATGACCCGCCGGGCGTCCCTGGAGGCCGAAACTGTCTCAAAGTGACCTCAGACCCTGACTCTCTTCTGCAGGCCAACAAAGTATTTCCTTTTAAAGTTTGATTTATTTTGAGAGAGAGAGAGAGAGAAGAGAGAGCTCAATTAGAGGAGGGGCACAGAGAGACAGAGAATCCCAAGCAGGCTCTGCTCTGTCAGCACAGAGCCTGATGTGGGGCTCGATCCCACGACCCCAGGATCATGACCTGAGCCTAAATTGTTGGAGAAGCTGGAGAACACCAAAGATGGCCGATGGGGCTAAAACAAACTCTGGTCTCTAGCTCCCATGGGGCCTCCTCCGGGGTCTTTCTTTCTTTGCTGCAGAAACTGCAGACCCCCGGATATGGAAGCTGATGATGATAAATTACCCTCCGCACTTGCATCCCAAGCTCCAGATGTTTAGGAGAAAGCAGGGTCTCCTCTGGGCCCTTGGTGTAAATAATCTCAATCCACCAAGATCTCTAGGTGGGACTTTCCATGGCGTCCCAGCCTGGTCCACGTAACCAAAATCAAGGTTGGGCAAGCAACTGGCTGAGCCACCCAGGTGCCCCTCAGCAAAGTATTCTCGCGGCACTGTTTCCTTCACGATTTTCCAGACATGGGATCCCTGGCAAATCTGGGGAAGATCATACCTATACTTGGCTGTAAACGAGGTTAGTCACCATTCGGAAAATCTCTTCCCTAGTGACCTGGGTCTCACGGAGACTATGAACCGTGCCATCTAGATTGTTCCCGGGAGGACGATGCGTGTGACCCGTTTATATGGCCCTCATTTCTAGATGTCCAGGTAATGAAACTTTAAGAATGTCTGTTGAATATTTCTTCTCTTAAGTCCAAACTTATTCCTTATAAGTGAGTGTGAGAGTCAAAATAACTCCCTTTTGCCTTCTAGTGTGAGGACATATTAGTTTCCCTCATCGCCGTCCCTTTCGCTTTTCTCGTTTATATTCACATCGGAAGTTATATTGATTTAACATATTCGTAGATTAGGTATACCTGCTTCAACTTCAAAATGGAAAAGCCGTCATTTAAACATTTGTTATAATATGGGTGCTCTTCACCGGGCCTAAAGTCACAATAGTCATGATCCCAGGGTTGGAGGTTCAACACCATGGCAGACTCTGTGCTTTTAGTGTGGAACTGCTTGGACTCTGTCTCTCTCTCTCTGTCCTCCCCTCCCACTCTCTCTCTAAAATAAATAAAATGGTATTTAAACAAGGATTCTTTTCTTTTTTAAAAAAGCAATGTTTTTTAAAATCTATTCTTGAGAGAGAGAGAGAAAGAAAGCCATGCCTTACAAGCAGGAGGGGCAGAGAGAGGAGACACAGGAATCAAGCAGAAGCCGGGCTCAGGCTATCCCAGCACAGGGAACCGACTGACAGAGGCTCAAGCCTCACAAGCAGCCAGATCATGATGACCTGAGCAAGTCGGACACTTAACAGTGGAGCCCCCAAGCCCCCACAAGGATACTCCTAAGCACTGTGGCCATAGCCTCTTCTCCCCACGTTCCTACAAGCTCTGAGATAATTAAGAAGCCAGATATTCTTTGAATCCTATTTTTCCCACTTAT